GAAAAATAGTGTTATGTTCCTGGGAGCCCCAAAAAGGAAAACAACTGTTTTTTAGGCCTCCACATCTTACAAAAAATAAAAGTGAATATGTAGTTGTAGTTCCTGTTGTGATGTATTATGTGTTTTCATGCTTAAGACTACAAATGTAACAGAAATAATAGTACTTTTAATTTAAATTGTGGGTGCTGGTGTTTGTGGATGATGTGAAGAGAGTGGAGAGTTATGTTGTGGACCTACTGGGCTGAGTGGATGGTAGAGGTTCTGGTACTGAAGTTGATGGTTGTACTGGAGTGTCTAACTTTAAGTCATTCAGTCAGTCAAGTCACTTAGTAAGTCAGACAAGTCACTCAGTAAATCAGTCAAGTCTTTCAGTATTCCATCAAGTCATTCAGTAAGTCACTCAAGTCACTCAGTAAGTCAGTCAAGTCACCCAGTAACTCGACTCACGAAATCGTAATGACACGATTGCAAACAACCATACCACGGCGGATTTGAACCCGCGGTCAGAGTCGGAGAGTCAGTCAAGTCACTCAGTAAGTCAGTCAAGGAACTCAGTAAATCAGTCAAGTCATTCAATAAGTCAGTCAAGTCATTCAGTAAGTCAGTCGTCACTCGTAAATCATTCAGTCAAGTCAGTCAAGTTACTCAGTAAGTCATTCAGTAAGTCAGTCAAGTCACTCAGCAAGTCAGTCATTTAGTAAGTCAGTCATACAAACTCATGTTTACCTCTTTTTCTGTGTACAAAGTAACACTTCATTACGGCTACAAGTTATCTCTTGTCTAATACCTTTGTTTCTTCATTAATTCTAAGATTTCAGTGCTTATACCTTTAAATCGTGCCACTTTCAGCAACACTGGTATGGCTACTTGGTGTCATGACTGCTTGGCAGATACAAGATATAGTAATTAAAATATCATAACACAATTCACACACACAGCTGCCTTGTAGCAGAGAAAGACTGGACTGGACACCTATGAATTACAAATGCTGGAATGGTGGGGTAGTGGGAGAGCTCCTCGGCTGCTCCACAGCAAGGCGGCTACTTGAGCAAAGGACAATTTTTTTTTCCTTCCCACAAACAGAATCGTGTTCAATTAATTATACATGTTATATAAAATTGTGCTGCAATTCTTCAATAGTGCAATACTCAAATCGTGCCAAATAAACTTGTGCTAAATGACGGTCTACTGTATACAAGAGAAGGGATAACTAGCCCCTTGCTCCTGGCATTTTAGCCGCCTCTTACGACATGCACGGCTTATAGAATTCTGTTCCACTTCCCCATAGAATATCAAAATCTACAAGAATCTCCCAGAATAGTATCTCTTTATTGGACCACATCTGGACTAACACCATATCCCCTTTTAAAAATCAGCATAATCACAGAAAAAACACCCACAGACCACAACCCTATCTTTCTCATAACCAACCTAGGTAACTGCCACAAGACACTACTAAAGTTACCTTCAGACTGCATAATGAAACAGCTGTAAATAACTTTATAGCAGCTATGAATAATTTTCAACTGGCAAAAATGAGCTTGAAAACACATACAGACACTAATGAATGTAGTATTAATAATTTTATAAAAAGAACCCACTACCTCTATAACAAGCTTTGCCCTGACAACAAAACAGCTCACAGAAAAGAGACTAAATGTCCTGACTAACACCCACCATCCTCAAAATCCTTTAACACAAAGCACTAATATGAAAAAAGTACAGAATGGTCAAATAACTAGAGATCAGTCTAAATTTTTACTCGTCAGCCCTTACCAGCCTGATAAGGCCCAAAAAAGTTGCATTATGAAAACTGATTACAAAACATCAAATGTGATATAAAAAGAGACCTGGAAAACCCTATCTGAAATTCTGGGAACCTAAAAGGTATCCAAAAAAAAACAATCAAATTAACAAAATCAGACGAACCCCTACCCCCACCAACTAAAAACAGCAAACAGACTCAAATTTTTTCTTCTCCACCATAGGAAAGAATCAAACAAGCAAAAATCCAAGCTCAAACACCTATCCATCAGACTACCTCACAGGCACCTACCCTATACACTATTCCTAGCTCCAACCAACCCAACAGAGGGTCTTGCTCATCATCAACACCCTTATGAACAAGGCAGGAGACATACACAACTTGCCTATTTTTATGTACGTAAAAAAAAAGCTTCACAAGACTGTCACCAATTTTTTGCAACACTCTTTAACAAATCCATTGAATCCTCCACCTTCCACGGGTTCTCAAAATAGCGAGGGTTACCCGATCCACAAAGGAGGTGATCAAGCCAACTTGAATAACTATAGACCAATAACTAAACTTACCACTACTCTCTAAAATCTTTGAAAAATTAATTCAAGTCAGATCTAATCTTACCTCATCTCAAAAAAACATACAAACCCCTGTCAGTTTGGATTTCAGGAATAATAAAAACACAATGATGCTATTATATACATGCTTGAGTTAATATATACTGCTCTCAAGAAAAAGAAGTCCACTGGGAATTTTCATCAACTTACGTAAAGCTTTTTAAAACAGCCGACCTTTAATTCCTGCACACTAAATTTAAAACACTTTGGTATAAAGGCCACTCCCTCAACTACCCAAAGTCATACCTTAGTAAAAAGAAGCCAAAACATGTACGCAAAAGGTGCAAACTCTTCCACAAAACCAAGCACAGTAGGAGTCCCACAGGCAAGTGTCCCGGGACCACTCCTATTTCTCATCTATATCAGTGACCTACCGAATGCATCACAGCTACTCAAACCCATATTATTTGCGATGACACTTCATACGTCTTCTCACACCCAAACCCAGCCATACTCGCCAACACTGTCAATGCTGAATCGCAGAAAATATCTATCTGGATGATGACGAATAAACTTTCCTAAATACTGAAAAAAACCTATTTCATTCAGTTTGGAAACCCTAGCTGCAAATATTCCACTTAAAAACTTTAAAAGGATCCCCATCACAAAGACTCACAGAGGGAAAATTCCTAGGAATCCACTTAGACAGCCCCCTCAAATTCCAGACACATACACAACAAATTTCCAAAAAAATCTCTGAGACAGTAAGCATGCTAACAAAGATAAGGTACTATGTTCCACAATCAGCTCTCTTTGCACTGTATCACTCACTCATCTACCCTTATTTCACATATGGAATTTGTGCATGGGGGTCAACATCAAATCACCTAAGGCCTCTTAATAACCCAACAAAAGGCTACAATCAGAATGATAACAAATTCCCACTCGCGACAGCATACTCCACCTCTATTCAAGTCTAAATTTGCTCAACATAAAGAACATCCACACTTATTCATGTGCCTACTACACACATAGAACAATACATGCAAACATAAACCCTCCACTCAAACTTCTCACCAACCTTAACAGGACACACGACCATAACACAAGACACAGAACTCTTTTTGATGTACCCCATGTTCATATCACACTGTGTAAAAACTCTATGCACATAAAGAGCCCCAAAATCTGGAATTCATTACCAGAATATACTAAAGTAACCAGGCCTGAAAATCAATTTAAGACTCTTCTAAAAAAACCACTTACTTGCCCAGGACTAAATAATCAACACTCAATATTTAACATTACCAATAATTCTCCCAATTACTTAAATCTTAAAACTTCAAGACAACACATAGTAAATTGATCTTGTTTGTTATACATTGTAATGCGACAAATTTGTACAACTATAATGCTTCAATATCAAAATGTTCAAATTTCATTGTTTCAAATACTCAATTGTACTTTATATTGTAAATTGTTTACTGTAATTTCTACCACTAAACTTTTCATTGCTTGTTTATTTTAAGTTAATTTTAAGCCTGCCCATAATGCTTTGTATACAAGGGGCTTTTGGCATGTACACCCAACTAGTACTATAATTCAAATAACCCGCACATAAAAGACAGAAGCTTACGACGACGTTTCGGTCCGACTTGGACCATTGACAAAGTCAATGGTCCAAGTCGGACCGAAACGTCGTCGTAAGCTTCTGTCTTTTATGTGCGGGTTATTTGTGTATCGTTCCAGTCACGGTATTGTGCCTTTTTGTTATTTAGTACTATAATTCTTTGTACAACTATGTATCATGTCCAAATAAACTATATGAATATGAATATCATAGGTAGTAGGTTGGTAGACAGCAACCGCCCAGGGAGGTACTACCGTCCTGCCAAGTGAGTGTAAAGCAAAAGCCTGTAATTGTTTTTCATGATGGTAGGATTGCTGGTGTCCTTTTTTCTGTCTCATAAACATGCAAGATTTCAGGTACATCTTGCTACTTCTACTTACACTGAGGTCACACTACACATACATGTACAAGCATATATATATTACACACACCCCTCTGGGTTTTCTGCTATTTTCTTTCTAGTTTTGTTTATCTCCTTATCTCCATGGGGAAGCGGAGCAGAATTCTTCCTCCGTAAGCCATGCGTGTTGTAAGAGGCGACTAAAATGCCAGGAGCTAGGGGCTGGTAACCCCTTCTCCTGTATAAATTCCTAAATTTAAAAAGAAAAACTTTTGTTTTTCTTTTTGGGCCACCCCACCTCGGTGGGATATGGCTGGTACGTTGAAAGAAGAAAAGAATATGAATATGGAGAATTATGGGCTTTATGGTACATAATATCAAATGTTTTAGCATGCTATGAATTTTTGGTTACACATTCTCAATAGATTTAACACAAAATCACACAATCTAATTTCATGTTAATCGAGTGTTTACTGCACTAAACAAAAAAACAAATAATGTTAAAACTTATTCTAAAGGCAATTTCTATACTATCTGCTTTCAATTTAAGATGTAAATAAAAATTTGTAGGATTCAAAAATATCCCCTAATGTGAAGGAAACCTTATCTCAAGCAAAGTATGCTCTGTTGAATTGTAATCAGATAACAGAAGGCATGTCAAAAAAAAAAAAAAAAAATGGTTATGAATAGCCCATGGTATTATTAAAATAGAAATAAGCAGTACCTTTATTTTTGTTTGTTATTGCAAGTGCTGAAGAATATCAAGTGACAATTGTATAATAAATAAGTTCACTTTATAACTTGCATACTATATACTAACATTATAATATTAAGTTCATTACATCTATTGTCCATGTGGATTAAGAAACATTAAATGAACCAAAATGAAATGTAAACAAACCTAAGAGGTGAAGACAACTTACACTGCATGGAATATTCATGCCAGTCCTAGACTGGTGTGACTGATATCATCTAAGTGGTGACCTAAGTAAAATGAAATGTGTAAGGAATTAGTGTCATACAAGAGGGATATACCTGTGACTGCCTTCAGGAGTCTTTCTACCCTCACAGCCTAGCCTGGAGCCAGGTTTTTCTGTTGGTTGCCTGTTTAACCATGTTGTTGCTGTTGGCAGCCCACATGACCACAAAGCCATAACAGCTTGGTTGATCTGGCACTTGAAGGTAGTGATTCAGTTTCCCAATAGAAACTGATCACAAGCATGTAAGTCACAGGTGTATGTAGTCAGCACAGACCCCCAGACATGAAGGATGAGAAGGCAGAGATAAAATACAATAAAAATAATAGTTCACTGTTATAAACTTACTAAATTCTAGAGAGTTTTAACAAGCAATAACAATTCTTAAAATATATTACATTTTCATCATATTAAGAGTATTTGTATAGCACTAAGAATGCAAATATTCAAATAAAAGAAAAAAATCCTTAAACTTAATATAAAGTGTTGGGTGAATATGTCTGGTAATATATACCAGAATGTGATAAAATTATTTTAGGAAGAAATAAATAGAGGTAGTGATTCCAGGAATAAATATAAATTGAAAGTTCTCTGTAACAAATGTGGTGCACCTTAGTAAGTACACACTTTCAAGGAAGCAGGTACAGAAATAACCAAAGAAATATTTACTATATTATAACACAGACAACCACTTAAAACATTTTGTGTATCTTAACATTTAGGTAAAAATGAACAATGAGAGTACCTTGATGAATATTGTATATGCTACTACATGTATTACGGTCCCTACAAACCTGTTTGGAATTCGTGTCTTTTCAACTGCTAAAGTGCATCATGAAGATTCCAGAAGAATCTTGTAATTCATTATAAAGCAGGTATGCTGTGTCTTCTTCACTGATCATTATACAATGCACTGGATTTAGCTGAAGAGTGGTTTCACATCTTCAAAAACTTCTTCTGGAGATCGAGTTGCATCAATTGTTTGAACAAGGTTCAGTGCTTCATAATGCTCTATGATGGGCATTGTGGCATTCATGTAGGTGTCAAATCTCTTTTTTAAAGATTCCATGTTGTCATCAGAACGCCCTGAACCAGCTGCCCCTCTGTCAAGGCAACGCTGGGTACATACCTGCAAGTTTGTATAAAGTGTTTAAACATGGCAAATATTGTAATATTCATAAGCCACAATTTAATTAACTAAAATAAAGCACGTACAAGGGCTTCCTAAAAAGTAGCTTGGAAACCCTGAGCCTATTATCGTAAAGAAAATAAGTTGCGTGTTACACATCTTGCAAATGCAGCTCACCACTTTTTTTTTTTTAACACTTTGGCCCTCTTCCACTTAGGTAGTGACCTGACAAGATAGAAAACCCTTTTACTGTCACTCATGCAATCACAGAAGGGCACTAACATCACAGTTCAGATGACCCTCCAAAGCCCAACATCCTTCAGAGGGAACACCACCTAGACTGAAGTTCAGCAAACTGGTTTCCCTGAATCTCTTCATAAATATTGCCTCACTCACACTCCAATAGTATGCCAAATTATAAAAACAATTTGCCTCCACTAGTTCCCATCTAGTTGGATGTCCAACCCCCTAGCACTCAACACCTTTATCCCTTCCAACTCTTAAGAAGACCCTGCCCCTACTTCCCTCCACTTCCAATTTTTATGGCCTCCTAGTCATCCTATTTTTTTTCCATCATCTTAATCTCTACAAATCACTTCAACTAAACCTCCTCCTCAGCCCTCTGAATATTACTGCTGGTAACTCTACACTTAATCTCCAAACTTCGAATTCTCAATATAATACTCATACCACACACTGCCCTAGGATATAGGAAAGTACTGGCTTGGTAACAGAATTGTGGATGTGTGAAACAAACTCCCGAGTAGCATTATTAAAGTGAAAACCTTAAAATAGCTTTAAAAATGGGTTAGACAAGTACATGTGTGGGTTGATAAATTAGACACATGCGTAACTCTTGGTATCTTTATTGAGGAAACGTTTCGCCACACAGTGGCTGCATCATTCCATACAAAGGAGAATCGTGAAGAACACGATTCTCCTTTGTATGGACTGATGAAGCCACTGTGTGGCGAAACGTTTCCTCAATAAAGATACCTAAGAGTTGCACGTGTGTCTAATTTATCAACGTGTCAGTTCTCTGAACCATTCATCTACACATGTGTGGGTGGGTGAGAGTTGGATCTGCCTAGCATGGGCCAGTAAGCCTGTTGAAGTGTTCCTCCTTATGTTCCTAATACCCCAAATATAATGGAGGCCCAATACACACAATACCTAAGTTAAATATTTTCTTCCTTTCAAAGATAATGTTTTTTATCGTGAAAAATTTCTGGTGAAAACGATTAATCAACACTTCTGAAATGTTGATTTTTGTTTTTTAACAAGCTGGCCGTCTCTCATTGAGGCAGGGTAAACTGAAAAAGAAACACTTTCACCATCATTCACACTATCACCGTCTTGCCAGAGGTGTGCAGATGCAACAGTTTAGATGTCACTCTAAACAGCAAATATCCTAAACCTCTCCTTTAGAGTAAAGGCACTGTACTTTCCCACCTAAAGGACTCAAGTCCAGCTACCCGGTTTTCCTGGAATCCCTTCACAAGATACTACCCTGCTCACACTTCAAAACAACTTGTCAAGTCCCAAAATCCATTCATCTCCACTCATTCCTAGCTAATACATTCACAAATGCCTGCTGTATTGATATGTAACTTTATTTCCTGTACTTACTTCCAAAGGCAATTGAAGCAAAAACAAACTTCAAATTAACTTTTTCTCCCATCTGCTTGTTCCAACCTTCTAGATTGTTTTGGTTGCGAGGAAAAACATCAATCAGGAAGTCATTTTCTGAATTCTGAAAAATGAAATACATTAATGAATTGCAAAGCCCCAAACTCGCATTTACAAAAAATGTTCATTTCTCAATTCACAAGGTTATGCCAACCTATCCTTTCACACCAATTCATTCAAATATGCATTGCTTCCATGCACAAATACTTCCCTCTGTGCTAAGCTTGTATGGAAGGGTACAGTGGTTATTGCAAACCCTGAATGGGTCACAATGTATATAATGTATATTACCTGTTCATATAATTTTATATTGCTTATATTTGTGATATTAGCTAAATCGTAAATATATTGCTTTATATTATTATTTGACTTAGTTATATTATTAGGTAGGATGTAACATTTATATATTATTCAGTGCTCATAGTTCGAGTGTTAAGTAGCTGACAGCATTGTCTAACTACTGTAATTTTCACTCCGCTTGTTTTGCTACCGGCTTCTGTGTTGCTGGGCTGCAGCAGTCCACGGAGAGTCACGTGATCAGGGTGGGGTTATCACACCTCACCTGGAGGGAGAGTCGGCCTGGCCTGTGCTAGCTCTTGTCTGTTTGACGTTGCTTCTAACAAGATGTGCCTCTCTAGCTCTCCCTTGTTGGAAGATTGTCTTTGTCGCTTTCTTGTTGTTGGCTCTGTGTAACTCTGTTCACAAAGCATGGCCTAGACTTAGTGATTTTCGATGTTGTACTGAGGTTGTGTGTCTCATAGACACTGAGAAACTCAGGTCCCGAGCTGTAGCTTCTGACCTAATTTGCAATGGTACTGTTACTGTCACAGTCGGGGATTTTCTAATGCTGAACTTAGATTCAGTAGTATGGAGTTTTGTGACTTTGTGGAGATCTGCAGATGGTCCCTACTTAGTGTCGTTATATTATCTCCTTGTTCCTGATTCTGTGTCGCTGTTGCTTGTTATATTGCTGTTCGGCTTATCAGTCGTTTATTGTTCAAACAAGCTGTTCTGATTGCCAGGTTGGTCAAGAAGTTAGTCTATGAGAGGACTTTAGTTAGTCACTGGTTAAGACTAGTGGAGTCTTGAGACATAGCGAACTAGGTACTTAGTGCACTTACACACATATACACAAACTTACTAGTATATTTGTTATTATGTTATTAAATGCTAACAATGTACCAGACTGTACTTAAAAGCCATATTATTATAATTATAATCAAAAAGAACGCTAAGCCACAAGGCTATACAGCGCTGCAGGGTAGGGAAGGAAGCGAGGGTATTGGACGGCAGAAGGGAGGAGGGATGATCAGCAGGTTACAGAAAACAGCGGGCAGGGATAGTACGGGGGTAGAGGGTAGCAAGAGATTGAAGTAGAAAGGCTGAAGGTATCAGAATTTGTGAAGTAAGTCAGTTGTTGTCAAAAAGTCAATGAGAGAGTCTGGATGAAAGGTGGGTCCATCAGCCGAGAAGGGAAGGTAAGAGAGAGTAGCGGAGCGAAGACGACGACAGAGGTAAATTCTGCGTGCTCGTTGATAAAGTGGGCAGTCCAACAGAATGTGGCTGACTGATAATGGAGCTTGGCAATTCTCACAGAGAGGAGCAGGACGCCTCTCCATGAGATATCCATGAGTAAGACGAGTATGGCCAATGCGAAGACTGGAGAGAGTAGTCTCCCAACTGGTGATAAGAAGACGGCCAGTTAACCTATACTCGGTTTAATAGATTGAAGTTTGTTGCCGAGTATAGTAGACCAACGTTGTTGCCAACGGGTGTGAAGGTGGGAAGATATTGCAAGCAAAATAGTCCGTAAATGGAATACCTCTATAAGAAACTGGTAGGTCATGTACTGCTGACCGCACAGCAGTGTCTGCCTGTTCATTGCCCTGTACGTCAACATGACCAGGGACCCAACAAAAAAACAATATCTTTATGCTTGGTAAAGATGCAGCGTAGCCAAAGTTGGATACGGAGGACTAAGGGGTGAGGTGCATCAAATTTTTGTATAGCCTGTAAAGCACTAAGGGAGTCTGAGACAACCACAAATGATGACACAGGCATAGATGCAATACGGATAAGTGCTGTAAGGATGGCATACAATTCAACAGGTTAAAAATACTAGCCGAAGATAGTAAATCCCCTTGTACGGCGCTGTCCGGAAACACTGCTGCGAATCCTACGCCGTCTGAAGACTTAGAGCCATCTGTGTACACGGCAATGGCATGAGAATGAGAGTGAAAGTGGTCAGAAAAAGAGAGAGGGAACGACTGTAGACAGTTGGGCTTTCGAGCAAGGGAGGGAGAAAGAACAGACTCGAACGCTGAACTTCCCAGGGGGTAGGGAAAAGTGAGATGCTACATGTACATAGAAAGGTGGTAGTTGAAGAGAAGACAAGAGCGAATGAAGGCGAAGAGAGAAGGGACGGAGTAAACAGGGGCGGCGAACGAATAAAGAATGTCTACTAATATCAGTGACCATTCTATAAATGGAAGGATTGCGGAGATCATGAGAGCGTATATAGTAGCGCAGGCAATGGGCATCACGGAAATCGGATAAGGATGGAACGTTCGCTTCTGTATAGAGGCTCTCGACAGGGGAAGAGCGAAAAGCACCAAGGTATAAACGTAATCCTTGGTGATGAATGGGGTTAAGGCTAGAGAGAGTAGCAGGAGATGCTGCTGAATAGATCTGGTCACCATAATCAAGTTTCGATAAAATAAGGGTGGAATGTAGGCGGAGGAGGGTTCGACGATCAGCTCCCCATGAAAAAATGAGCAAGGGTTTTAAGAAGGTTCAGCCGGCTTGACAAGTGCCTTCAGAGAGGTTTAATGTGAGGTTTCTAGGATAACCTACCGATCAAAGAGGAGGCCCAGAAATTTGACTGTATCACGTTCAGGGATACGGGAGCCATAGAGGTACAAAGGATGATCGAGATACAGAGCTTTCATGAAAGTAATTTGGTGTTTTAAAGTGCCGGAAAATTTAAACCCCCGTGTGGTGGCCCCAATTGGAACACGGTCGACTGCATGTTGGAGAGAAACTGTAATGAGATGACAGTCAGCTCCCTGCACAGGCAATAGCAAAGTCATCAACATAGAGTGATGACCAAATATTTGATGGAAGACTAGAGGCCAAATCATTAATAGCAAGGAGAAAAAGTGTTGTGCTCAGAACACATCCCTGGGGACACCTTCAGTTTGGGATAAAGTCCGGGGAGAGCACATTTTTAACCCGAACAGGGAAAATGCCTGTCAGTTAAAAAGTTCTTAAGGAAGGATGGTAGATTGCCTCGAAGGCCTAAGGAGTGGGCTTGGGCTAAAATATTATTTTTTTTATTTATTTATTTATTTATTTATTTATAATTTGAGCACACTTACAGAGGTACAAAAAAAATACAGATAAGAGCAGTAGGGCCAAAGCCACTTATACTATGCAAAGCATTACGGGCTGGCTTAAAATTAACTTAAGATTAACTAAGCAATGATGAAATCAGTGAAAAACATTAATGTAAACTGATTACTATAAAGCACAAGTGGTATTACAAAGACAGGTCATATGAAGGATTCTGTTAGGTAGTGTATTTAAAAAATAATAAAGTTAGATTGGGTTTTAGGTTTAACATTTATGTGATATAATTGTGAGAAACATTTAAGATATACAATTTATAAGGTTCAGTTATTCAGTATTTTTTGGTTTTGGGTGATAAGTGATCTTTGATAGAGACTTGAATTTATAAACAGGTAGTGTTTCTTTTTATTTTTACAGGTAATGAATTCCAGATTTTAGGGCCTTTTATGTGCATTGAGTTTTTGCATAGTGGGAGATGAACACGAGGAACATCAAAGAGTGATCTGTGCCTTGTGTTATGGTCATGTGTTCTGTTTTAGGGTTTGGGAAGGAGATGTTTTTAGTGGAGGGTTAATATCAGAGTTAATGTTTCTATGTATGTAATAGGTGCAGTAATAAGTATGGAGTTTTTGTATGGTGAGTAGGTTTAGTGTATTGAATATTGGTGGAGTGTGGCTGCCTGTAAGTGAGAATTTGTTATCATTCTAACTGCAGGGCCCTTTTTTTGGGTAATTAGTGGTCTGAGATGGTTAACTGTTGTTGAGGGCCCCATGCACAAATTCCATAGGTGAGTTTGGGGTAAATAAAGAGTGATATAGGGCCAGGAGGGCTGACTGTGGAACATAGTACCCTATCTTCGATAGTATGGCCTACAGTCTTGGAAATTTTCTTAGAAATTGTTGTATATGTGTATGAAATTTGAGTCTATTATCAAGGTGGATTCTAAAAAATTTTCCCTCTGTTAGCTTTGTGATAGGTTATCCGTTTATCATTATGTTAAAAGGGACATCGTAGCTCTTTTTACCAAACGAATGAAGTAGGTTTTGTCAATGTTTAGTGTAATTTTTAGTCCTCATCCAGGTAGATATTTTCTGTAATTCGGTATTTACAGTATTGGCTATGTGAGGGGCCGGGTGGAGAAGACTATGTATGCAGAAAATAGTGGGGGTTTTGAGTTTTTTCGAAATTTGGAAGGTCTTTTTTGTAAAAGGAAAAGGAAAGAGGGCCAAGGACACTTCCCTGTGGGCCCCAACTGAAATTTGGGGTTTGGCAGAAGAGTTGCCCCATTTGCGTACACAATTGGTTCTGTTGCTAGGTATGACTTGAGGAAATTTGAGGGGGGCCCTCTTTACCAAAAGTGTGAAAATTTTACGGGAGCAAGTCGGTCAACTGTACAAAAGCTTTACGTAAGTAAATAAAGATCCCCAGTGGGACTTCTTTTTTCTTTTTGCGTGTATATATTTCTCATGTGTATAAAGCATCATTAGTATTTTTTTTTAGGCCGAATCCAAATTGGCGGGTTGAGTATTTTTTTGGGAGAAAAGGTAGGATAGATTCTTTAAAAATTAGTTTTTCAAAGTTTTTGAGAGAGGGGAAGTTGGATAGGGCCCTATATTTATTAACCTTTTTTGGTCTCCCCCTTTTGTGATCGGAGGCCCCTTGCTATTTTGAGTACTTGGGGAAAGGGGTGGGGATTAAATGGATTTGTTAAAAGTTTTGCAATGATTGGAGATAGCACTTGTGACCTTTTTATTTTAAAAAGGGGTGGAAGGTACTTAAATCTCCTGCCTTTTTTTTTAGTGCATTGTAAAAGGGAAAACTTCGTATGGTTAGTCGGAGAGGAACATGTTTTGGGGTAGTTCCCCGGGGGGTAGTTTTTTGGTGGGGTACTGAGTTTGGGGATTTTAGGGGAAAGGTTTTGCCCCCTATAGTGGGGAAGAAATCATATTTGTTTGCTGTTTCGTTGGGGGGTTGGGTTCTCTGATTTTTGCTAATTTTATTCGCATTTGTGATATCTTTTTTGTTCCCCAGAATTTCAGATATGTTTTCCAGGTTTTTTTAAAACCCTCGTGTTGGTAACGTTTATAATAAAATTTTTTTCCCCTTCTTTTTCGGGCTGGTTAGGTTTGACGAGTAACGTTTTGTTTGGTCTCGGGTTATGTGACCCATTCTGATGTTTTTCTATTGGTGTTTTTATTTAAAGGTTTTGAAAATGCGGGGTTTTTAGCAGGATTTCAGTCTCTTTGCGTCATCTGTTTATTTTTTTAGGGCATGCTTTTTATAGGGGTTGGGTCTTTTAGAAAATTATTAATACATTCGTTAATATCTGTAAATTTTCTCAGTGTGCCAATCAATGTTTGCTAAGCTGTTGCGAAGTTATTAAGGCCCCCTCATTGTGAATCTAAAGGTGATTTATAGTGTCTTGGGGTAGTTTACCAAGATTGTTTGAGAAAGTGGGTATGGTTGTGGTATTATCTGTAATTATCCCCGTTTTAAAAGGGGTATGGTTTGGTCCAGATGGGTCAAGTAGGAAAAACACAGTCTCTGAACCTTTTGTAGGTTTTGTTACTGTTGGTGTAACATACAGTTACTCTTTGGGGTTTGTGAATTAGTAATTTGGGTCCCTGGGGTTTTTGGCCCGGGAAGGAAAGGTTTTTTTATTGAATTTTTCCCTTTTTTGAAAAGGAGGAGTAAGGATTTTTCAAGGGGAATTTTTTTTAAGGTTTTAATTTTCAAAAACCCCTTTCCCCTTGGGAATTTTTAAAAAAACCCTAAATTTTGGGGTTTAATTGTTTTGGGACGGGGGGCGGAACCTGGTAAAATGTTTTATAAATTTGAGGTTTTTGTTAATTGGAATTGGGGTTGAAATTGGGGGTTTTATGTAAGTTGTAAGGGGGGGGGGTTTTGGGGGTTTGGTTATGTTGGTGGGGGGGGGCCCTTTGGTTTGGGGGCTGTGTGGGTTTTTAGTTATTTTTTTAGAAAGTATTATTTTGGGGGGGGAAAAAGGGGTTGTAATTGGTTTGTGGGAATTTGTTTTTAAGAAAAAAATTTATTTTTTTTTTTGGGGTTGTTTAAATTTTTTTTAAAATTTTTTGGTTAGGGTTTTGGGGGGTTTTATTTTTTTGTTTGTTTGGGAAATTTGTGGTAAGTTTAAAAAAAAATTTTTTTTTTTAAAATGTGTTTTTTATTTGGGTTATTTTTGTGATTTTGGTTGGGTATTGGGTTTGGGGTTTTTTTTTTAAAGTTTAATTTGTTAAAAATTTGGGATAAATAGGGGATTTTTTTTTTTTTTTTTTTTTTTTTTTTTTTTTTTTTTGGGTATTATAAAGCTAAAATAAAGGGAAAATAAAAAGGGACTAAAATTAAGTAATGTAAGCAAAGTTAAATGGACAGTTGGTGGGAATTATAATATAAACTTATAATTAAAAATACAATTTGAAAGGTACTGCAATTTGCACAGAGTCTGGTATGGGTTTTACAAAAAGGTTTAAAATAAGATTTTAAAAATTGCAAAAAAAAATTTACAATTAATACCAAAAGAAAATATTAAAAAAACACAATGGTAAGTCTTGGTTATAAATGATGTAAATGGAGAAGGGACCCCGGTCAAGGTACAAAGGATAATAAAGGTTGGGGTTTAATAAAAAAACTTGAAAATTTGGGAACAAAATGTTTTGGGGAAATAAAAAAAATGTTTAAGACAAAAGAAAATTGACTGGTATAAATATGGTGTTTAAAAAAAATTTTTAAGTATAATGATTACAAAAAAGTGAAAAAGAATTTTTATTTCATTCATATTGCACTGGTAGTTTACTTGAGGTTAATGGCGTACAAGGGAATTAAGAGTAATCTAGGGTAGAAAAAGTGGTATTTAAAACCGGGAAAGTTAATAGTCAAGTAATGGTTATTTAAAAGTCAAAATTTAAGAGTAAATGAAATTTAGTAAAAATGATATTTATTTAATTTTTTGTAAGTAATTTTTAATTGATGTATTTTAAAAAAAAAATAGGTAGTAATATGGGCGAGAAAGAAACAATTCACTAAAGTCAAGCCAACAATTAATAAAAAATCACATAAGGGGATTTTCTTACTAGTAAAATCACAAAATGAGGAGTTGATTTTTTAAATACAAAAGGGTTGTACAATGAAATTTGAACAAAAATGGAGCAAAACATACCCTACACAAATAGACTTTTAAGTTTGGGCATTGTTTATTATTTTTTCCCGTAAAAAAATCCCCCGAAAATCTATAGATCATTCTCGTTTGGTTGTGTACAGTTGACCTACATTTGTTTTTCCCAACAGAAATTTTTTATCCCGTTAAACATTGGTGAATTTTGTCATTTTCCCCCTTAAGTTTTTTGACTCTAAAGGAGGGTTTTGACTTTTTTGGGAAGACACCGTTTATGATATCTTTTTTTATTTAAAAAAAGCAATAATTAAGCTTTTTTTCCCATCATGTGAGTTGAATCAAAAAACACTTTTTTTACCATGGGATCCCAGTAATCTGGCTTCTTTTATTTCAGGGCTCAGGTACAATAAAAACTTGTTGGTCCTTTAGACTCAGGTAATTTCTTTACGTTTGTTTGTTATTCACTGGGTAAAGGGACTGTTAACTATTACTGCGTCCCATAGTTTTTCCCCTTTCTCATTTTATCTTCTTGAGACAAAATAGTCACTGAACTGGGTTTTCTAAGTGTTCTTCCCTTGTTTTACGCTTCTTCAACCTTTGATTAAAAGAAAATTTTTTTTGGGTTGGCTTTTATGTTTTGGAGGTCTTTTTCCAGTTTGTATTCCAGGGGTTTTAAACTTTTTTTCAAAATGGGATTTGTTCTCGATTGTGTCATCCTGGTGTCTTTTTTTGTTAGGTCTCTCGAAGATTCTATTTTCAATAAATAAGTTGGGGATGCTGACTTTAGGGTATCTGGCGTTGGTCATACCCGAGAGACTACTAGGTAGGGAAAAACCGGGGGGAAAAGAGGGGAGGATGGGTGGTGGGAGCCCCGTTTTTGTTTTGTTGTGGTGTCGCCTTGAGTGGGGGTGAGTGGGGTGGTTGCGGGGGCCCGGGGTCCTCCTGGCTACACTTGTTTAAAAGTTTGATTTTTCGGTGTTTTCTTGGGCCTTGGGGGTTTCCCTTAATTTCGCCTCATAAACTACAGGGAAATTTTTGTTTTTAAGAAGAAGGGGTTTTAATACAAAGCTTAGGGGGACGTTGTTTTGGCTGGGAGGGGGGGGTTGCTTTCGGTTTGGTGCATCTTCCTTTTATCTCTTTTTTTTCGATTTTTGGTTTCACTGGGGTAAACTTTTGTCATTCGGGGCTACGTTGGGTATGCAGTTTTGTTGTAACAGGGCATCATAGGAGCATTGTAGCTCTGTAGTTGAGAAAAAACGGAGTTGGAAACGCTGCTGCGCTGCCCCCAATGAGAAGTATGTGATAGCCCTTTCCCCAACAAAAATATGGAATAACGATGTTTTTCGCAAAGGCTTCGAACATAGTATCCCAAATGTTAAAAGGGGCATGTAGAACGCCCCCTTTCGAAAACCAAGACAAATGGAGAGACTGTTGTGTGTCCAAATACCCCACTAAACGTTATTTTCTACGTTTCCTACTTTGCAAACTGACTGGTAAGAGAATGGGAAATGGGAGGGTTTTATGTCCCCCTATGCCTGGGTTTGCGGAAAGGGAGAACAATGGCGGATTTCCACAGCTTTGGAAAACCCCCTTGTGACCAAATAATTTGAAAGGCGTAAAAGGCGCAAGGGCTGACTGTGTAAATGTTGAGCATAAATATAATTGCAGGCCCCCTCCGATAATCGCAAGCTGAGAGGTTTTCCTCCGTTTCTGAAGTGTAAATGGCAATTATACGTTCTTCTCGAAGAAGAAAAGTCCAAGGGTGCTAACCCCTGGCAACTTTTAGGAAAGAAATGAGGGCTAGTGGGGTCCCTGAGAAAACGGACCAGATGATTTCCAATTTCATTGGGAACATCTAGGGTTTGCTTACAACACCTGCAACCCGCAAACGGGACCCGGGTCGGGAGAAATTTACCACCATTTTTCGTATTTTTCTCAGACTGCACTCAAAGGGAAAGCAGATGAGGGGAGACAAAAATCTCGCCAGCAAGTGCGTTTAGCGTCAGGGATGACAGGGCGACGTCGCACGTTCTGTTAAAATCAAGGAGCCCCTCTCTGTGGTTCTTTGTCCCGGACCTGCCCCATGCAGCGATTTCAAACGTACTGCAAGCAAAAGCAGTAGACACCGGGCACGCTTTTCTGAGAAGCCTCCCCAAAGTTTTGGTTTATAGAATGAAAGCCGGTTTAAAAAAACGGAGGAGAGAAGAGGTGTAAAAAAGCTCATCGAGGGAGGACGAAGAAGGAACCTCTCAAAAAACAGTTAGGTGGAAAAAGGGTTCCAAATTTTTGCCCATCAAATTGCCACTGGGATGCAAGAGGTGGTGAATATAAAGGGAATAAGAATGTTTGGGAAAAATAAACGCGTCATGTAATGGGGGAGAAAGCCCAAGGGAAAGTCAATGCGGTGGAGGAAGACAATGAGAGATCTTTTGCAGAGAAGTTAGCCCGGGATCAAAAGGGGTGGCACTGATTTAAAACAGGGGGGGGGAGGGGGCAAAAAAGCCTCTAACTGAATTCCACGGAAAACAGTGAGCCCCCCCCCCGGGGAAATGGTGGCATTAAAATCACCAAGAAACAAAATCGGTGGGGTAAGCGAAAAAGAAAGGCAATTCCGGAAAGATAATGCCCGAGAAGGAGAGAGAAAAAAAAACGAGGTATCCCACTATGAAATGGATACGGGCTGCTGTGTAATGCAGCGAATATGAACAAATAGCTGATGGTAGGAAATATCAGTGCGCAGAAAAGGGGCACTTTCTTTAAAAGGGTCCCATCAGAAAAGGATCTAAAGAAAAATAAATTATACCTAGAGGGGAGAGATAACAGCAGTGAATTTTTGGTTCCTGTAAGCAAACACCAACAGGGGAAAACGGGGAGAGTAAAACATTGAGCTCACTCCGTTTACCCGGGGCCCACGTATCTTCCACGTAAATGGGCCCTGATTGGCAATGATAAAGATACTTGAAATCCGCGGGTAAGGGTTCCTACGGACTAAGGGGTTAAAAAAAACCACTGCGGGGCAGTGGAAAACTTTAAAGCCAAAGGAACGGTCCCTGTGAAGAAAGGATTGCGCAGATGGGGGGGGAAAGAGAAGGAAAAAGGGGGGGAAAGTGCCATTGATGGTTTGGTCTCTCAATATATTCAGGATTGTTTCAAGTTTTTCGTTAAGACGTCGTATGGGAGACAAATTGGAAATGGCGGGGGGAGGATGATAAAGTTTGGGAACTGTTTTGGACGTAAAAGGGTAGGGGGGGGGCAAAAGGGTGGGGGGAACTGGAGAAAGCGGGGGAAGGGGATAGAAGAGGCAAAAACCCTGGGGGGTTTGGCAAAGGGGAAAGGAGAAACCTGGGGGGAACAGGGGGGAAGCTCAGAGAGGAGGGGGGTGAACCTTCACTTTTAACAGAGCCAGTGAAGGGGGAGAACCAAGACAGGGAAAAGGGAGGGAAAAAAGAGGGGGGTGGAAATGGTGGGGTTAACGAAACCTTTTTTTTACTTTTTTAGAAGTAGAGGGGCGATTGGGAGGAGGTGTATACGAATCTCGCGTTGAGGCTTGGAAGAGAACACGAAGAAGCGAGATCGACTGAGGGGTTTAAGTAGGGACGTCTGAGCCGAGGGCACAAAGGGTTAATCAGGAGTGACTATGGGGGAGTAACCCAAGGTGGGTGTAGAAGGGGATACCAAAGGGGGGGGACGTTTTGAAAAACCGGGAAAAAAAACCGTGGGAGTCTCCCTTGGAAGCGGAGAAAGGGAAAATGCCATGGCATAAAGGGGGAACCCCCCGTCTCTTTGAGGTAACGATTTCCCGCCGTTTTAAATAAAATTGACAACGGGGAGAGTAAAGGGGGAGCTCATGACAGTTTAAAGGGAAGAGGGGGAAACGACGCAAACTATAAATGGTCATCGGCACCACAGACGGGGGGTTCGGCGATAAATCGCAATATTTTGCTGGATGGGCCAAAATTTCCAGCAATTTTTTACACTGTTGCGGTGTAGGGATCACCTTTTTGGGCTTTAACCGATTTTTCCTGCCATATAAAAGGAGGGGGTTCTCGGGTGTCAAAAGTTAAATAGCCCCATTGCTAGGGTAAGTCTCCACCTGCGGGGAGGAAGAACTAATGCTACCCTTGGGGTTGGGAGATCTTGGAGTTCCCGCTGTTCAAAATGTCAGTGCCACATGTCTGGAAATTTTTTTGAACTATGGTAGGGGAAAAATGGACCACTACAAAATTTAGGGGAAAGATTTTTCAAGGTGACAGGGAACAGTACGAATGGGAAAGACGGAGAGCTCATGAGCCTGGGTCATTCTGTACGGGAGATGCGCGTACCGCTCTAAAGCATGAAAAGAAAATCTTTACCAACATGGCGTAGGATGCCTTGCCCAAAACTGGGTCCCGAAAGATAGGCAGTAAGGAAAAATCGGTCGTAAAGTGAAAAATTTAGTCCATTGTTCAGTCTGAAACTGAGCGTGGAAAAGGGAGGGAAAGGGCGTGTCATCGTTTTTGAGAAGAAGAGAAGTGGAGAAGACACAGCAGGTAATTGTCGTTGGCGTTTAGGGGGACCCGAGTTTGGGCCGACGTGGAACGGGTCGGCATTTGAAAAATGCCCCACCCTAAGGAGAGGCCGGAAGCAAGCAGAGGAGAGCGAAGGTCCAAAAAATCAAAGGAGTCATACCCGAACGGGTGAGGAAAAACCCCCCCGGCAAGAGGAAGAGGTAGGGAGTGCGAAGAGTTCCCAAAAACGGCGGGGGCAGCGGGGTGCGGTATCAAAAAGGGGCCCGGGGGTAGGAGGTTCTGGACTAGGGCTGCCCGGTTTTGGGTTTCTTCTTTCTTTTTGTTTTTTAAGAAAAAAAAAAAAAGAAAAGAAAAAAAAATAAAAAAAAAAAAAAAAAGGGGGGGGCCGGGGAATTTCCTAGGAGGAATGAAAGGGCCAAAATCTCCCTCCCCGCCCCAAGGGGCCTAAAAAGCC